AGCAAACACGTTTTAAGAACGAAGTGTCTCTTCTAAGGGTGTGGAATCCTCTCCCTAGTATCTTCCTAGCAAACACGTTTTAAAAACCTTATAGGGGAAGTCCTTAGTTGGGGAGGAGAACGAAGCATTCTTTATACGGATGTGAAAACCTCTCCCTAGTAGACGCATTTTAAAAACCTTGAGAGAAGCCTAAATGGAAAAACTCAAAAAAAAAACCTCTCCCTAGTAGACGCATTTTAAAAACCTTGAGAGAAGCCTAAATGGAAAAACTCAAAAAAAAACTTTATCCGCGGACGGTGGGCTTGGGTCATTACATATTATCTATATGATCTTCATGAATGAATGAAAAAACTGAAACTGATACTGATACTGATACTAACTGATGGTTGATGGCTCCATCCCATAGGTACACCGCAAGGACGATTTTCAAGGCCGCCACAAATCAGTCCTCGAGGGCGTAGCATGAGAATGAATTCTGAAAGCCAGCTTATTTTCAAGGCCGCCACAAATCAGTCCTCGAGGGCGTAGCATGAGAATGAATTCTGAAAGCCAGCTTATAGCAATGACTCCAAAGGTTAGAAGATTATCTGGCCACGCCTCAGATTCTGAGCTACCCTAAAAGCCAAGGAACGAGTATCGACGTAGATGGTTACACTCTCATGATTTACGCATCGACATGCTCATGAACGTTCCCGGAACAATGGGCGTCACAGACAAGTTTTTCTTCTTCTTCTTCCCTAGAAGGGTGGGTGGAAAAGGCCATGGCACTGTGTTTGGAGCTGTGTTTTGAAGATGAGAATGATCCAACATATTTTGTATATAATAGGAATTATGGGTCTTAGAGAGCAATCAGAGGAAGTGGGGAATAATGGATCAAACAATATAATCTCTTTCAGAGTTTTGGTATTCATCTTAAATTCTAAGTGCAGCTCATGTACATGTAAATGAAAGCAACAACCCAGCGTGTTGCGAGGAGGTTCCTACCTGCCCTGCTGCACACCCCATCGGAAGAGGACGAAGGGGGAGAGGTCAAGAATTCATGTAAATGGAAACGATGCTTCAATTTTTTTTACTAAAACCAGATTTCATATCAGATGTATTGCTTTGATGCTGGTTATAACATTGGGAATGAGAATTTAATTTCGTGTCCGCCCTCTTTTGGAAATTGTAAAGCGGTTGTACAGCACTTATTTTCGAGTAAGTGAGCCAACTGAACTTGGGTCGTCGTTGACATAGACAACCTATGCTTAAGCCTATGATTCATGTCCCGTGATTATCCCGTACTTACTCTCGAGTAAGTGAACCAACTAAAATTTGGATCGTCATTGGCATAGACAACATGTGTTCAATATTGACTGAACCTTTCAATATTGATTGAACCTGATGACTAAACTTATAAAAAGTAAAACCGAGCAAAACTAAGGTAACAGCATCACTGAATTTAACTAAGGCATACTCATTTTCTTTCATTCAATTTCAATTTCTAAAACTATTGCTTTTAGTTAAAGACCATAGTTAGGTATAAGGGGTCGTAGCAAACGATTTTATTCCAAACTAATGATAAAAATATTTTTTTGATAAATTTTTAAAATTTAAGGGTATGATTGAATGTATTGAAAGTTTATGCGTACATTTAAATAAAGTATTGTGAGATCCCAACATCAGTTGGAAAGTGTAATGAAACACTCTTTATAAGAGAGTGGAAAACTCTTCTTATTAGTAGATGCATTTTAAAACCGTGAGACAGACGATGATACATAACGGGCTAAAGCGGGCAATATCTGCTAGCAATGGGCTTGAACTGTTACAAATGGTATCAGAGCTAGACATTGGCGGTGTGCCAACGAGAACGCTGGCTCCTTAGGCGACGAATTGTGAGATCTCACATTGGTTAGAGAGGAAAACGAAACACTCCTAATAAAGATGTGGAAACTTCTCCCTAGTAGACATATTTTAAAACCATAAAACGTAATGTACCAAAACGGACGTAGGGACAAAACTAGTACAATGTTTATAGTTAATAGTTATTTAAAATAAAGTAGTACTGGAACATTTTCTGTAACTTAGCCTATTTTTTATAAATAAATTTGTTAGCTTTTTTTAAAAAAAATTTATATATAAATTGAAAGGGTATAATGGTGAAATCGTTCTTTTCTTTTTATTTTTTTAAATATAAAAAAAATGGTTAAATTACCAACTTAATTTTTAATTTAAAGGTTAATATTTATTTAATTCTTACAATTTTTTTTTTAAAAATTAAAATCTTCGACATAAAATTTAAACTTATATCTAAAGAATCAATTAAACTTAAAATACAAAATTATAAGTTTAAGGAATTAAAATTAAAAATAAGAAAAGAAGACATTTAATTAATTATTGATGAAAACAAGTACTTGTTAAGTCTTTTTTTTTTTTTTTTTGTTTCTAAATTAATAGAAAAAAAAAATACTCTAATATTCTAGTGAGCTTTAAATTTTCAAAAATTTCAATAATATTTTAAATTTCAAAAAAATTTAAAAAATATTCCCACACTATATTTTATTTTTAAAATATTTATAAAAATATATCCATCGTTATCTTTATAAAAAAAATATTATTTTTAAATTTAAGAGTATTATTAAAACAATATTTTTATTAATTTAATTTTATTATTATGATTTTTTACACGACTTATTATCATATACTAAAATGATTTAAAAACCAATCCCTTCTAAAAAAGAAACAGAAAAAAGTAAAAATTAGTTTCATCATCATTTAATTTATTTTTATTCCTTTGAAAAAAAGTCAAAAAAAAAAGTCAAAGGGGATCAGGTTTTAGCACTAACTATATTTAACTCCAAATTAAAGCACAAAATTAACGTTAAACCTTAATTTGCTAACTAATTAGTCCAAAAAAGAAACCCCATTAAAGCAATACAAAATTAACGTTAAACCTTAATTTGCTAACTAATTAGTCCAAAAAAGAAACCCCATTAAAGCAATCGGAAAGCTTGAAATGAAAGAATCGTGAAGGGTTGACTTTGCCGTCCCGATCTTTCCACAATTCTTCAAGCTTCCCAAATTCAAGTCAGTTTCTTTTCGTTGACTTTTGTTTCTATATAACATAACCCTTTTGTTTATAAAAACATGTTCTTTTAAACCTTCATCTTTCGTGTTCATATCCATATCCATCTCTAACATGTTTTTTTTTTCTTTCTTTCTTTAAACCTTCATCTTTCGTGTTCATATCCATATCCATCTCTAACATGTTTTTTTTTTCTTTCTTTCTTTTCCTAAATTTATGTTATCCCTTAAAATATTTGGTTTTGTTTGATTATCAAACTCGTAAATAACTTAAATCTAGATATGTTAATTAACCTGTAGAGCCGGGATCTAGTGGGGACCCACTCCAAACGAGAACGGAGATAAGGATTATATTCTTTGCCCCTATCTATATTCCCGAGTCTGCACAATCCCTATCTTGCCTCACTTTATATATAAATAGATGCATGCATATTATTTATTTTTATATATATAAAGTATGAATGATTATATAGTAGTATTGAAATTTGAGTACGTAGACAATATATTATATTTTTGCTTATAAAATATTATTGAATTTATTAGTATGTTTTATATTTTTTTTAATAGAAAGTATCCATTTAAAAAATATTTAAAATGAATATTTTTAAAAATGAAAATAAATGAAAATTTGCAAAGATTAAAATAGGAGGCAGACAGTCAAATTTGTCATATATTGTAAATTTAATTGAATCAATGTTATATTCTAACAAAAAAAAAAAAAAAATTGTTAAATATTGTAGGTAAAAAATGATGGAAGAGACAAGATCAAATGAATCAGATATCAAAGAAGAACAAGAAATGAGAGACGATAGTAAAGAAGAAGCTAGTCAAAACATGGGATTGGGGTCGGATTCAAGTTCGTCGTATCTACCGGAGATGAACCTTGTTTTTGTGCTTCTTTCGTTGCTTTCTCGTGAACAGTCAAATGGTGAAGAGGGTGAACTCATGAAAGCAAAAGAGGTTGAAGCCATTACAACTTACAATATAGCTCGATTGAGTGTAAAAAAGAAAGACATGATCAAAGCCAAGCCAGAACGACGACGAGTAGCGATAAAGGATTACAGGTAATTTTATCCTCTTTTTTACCATTCCTTAGTTTCCCTTTGAAAAATAGAAAATTACCTCTTAAGTAAATGGTTGATTTTACGTTGTATGCAGGCATGGCAGAAAAATGTGAAGAGGACAGTAATATTATATGTTTCTACTAATAATGTGTATATAACTACTTGTTTCTATTAAGTTTTGGTATTGTCACCATGTAAAGATGATGCTCAATAGCGTAGGGAGGGCTAATTTGCTTGTACAAGTATGCAAAGTTCAACTAGGAATATCACTTATAAACAAATATGTTCATTCATATTCTCACTCTCTAAAACTTGGAATTTTAGTGAAGATTGTTGGTCTGATGATGGTGGTGATGGTGCTTCTTGGAAATTTTGGAATTTTAGTAAAGATTGTTGGTTAATGATGGTGTTTGTGAGATCCTACCTCGATTGGAGAGGAGAACGAGTGACAGCAAAGACACTGGACTCCGAAGGAGGGAGGAATGTGAGATCCCACGTGGAGACGAAGTATTTTTTATGAAGGTGTGAAAATCTCTCCATTTCAAAAAATGTTGAGAGAAAGCCCGAGAGAGAAAACAATATTTGTTAGGTGTGTTTTTTTCTATATTCTTCTTTACTTGTGAAAAAAAGATTTAGTTGCCCGTCATTTTCCTACCAGTCTTCTTTAATTTGAAAGGAATAAGAGGATCTTTAAAGTTTAAAGAGTATGCAAAGTAAAGAAAGTTCTAAATTAATCGAAAAGTTGAATATCTTATATAATTTGTTAATAGAATTGTCAACAAAATAGAACCTACAATGTTTTGTCGTCAATTCAAGACCAAGAAAAATGAAGCATCTCATGGCTATTTCATGATAGATCCAATACTTGTGTTAGTAACTTACGGGCCATGATTAATTATTTTAAGGTTTGAATCCCCCCTTACATTACAAAGTTCAATTCCCACAGTCATCGTAACTAATGAAAAAAAAAAAAAAAAAAGAGAGAAAGCCCTTTAAACATATCAACCAAATAGCTAAACACATCATTTTTCTCATACATCAATTGAAGATGCCAGTTAGCATTATCTTCTTCGGGTAAAATTAGTTGCTCGATATCCGACCCGAATTTCAAAAGCTTGTTTCATATCTATGGATGTGAGTATGACAAAATCAACACTGCAATTCAAACACAAAGGAGGTTAAGAGGTTTGCAATTTAACCTTAATATTTGAACCTCTAATTTCATCAAAGTAAAGGAATAAAGAAGACACCATGAATATAGAACACCGGAAATATAAAAGAACATCACGGATTTGAAAACTAGATACAATAAAGCTATGCTCTCCCAAATCTCAAGGAGACCACAAATGTGCTTATTCTATCGTCAATAAGTTCACTGACATAGCATAAGAACAAAAGCTTATGCTAGCACGAGCTTGTCAGAAGATATTTAAAATCAAGGAAGCAAATTATGAACACACTCAATACTGCCTTAAACTAGGTATTGGAGAGAGGATAATTAAAACACCTAGTTTATTATGAACACACTCAATACTGCCTTAAACTAGGTATTGGAGAGAGGATAATTAAAACACCTAGTTTACCATCTCCCCTTGCCTACAAAAATAGCAGATCATTCAATCGTTCAACAAACGTAAGTTAAGTTAGTACCCAATAATCAGTCTGAGATCCTAATCTCAACTCCCAAAACGTCCTTCACCATCTCGTACGACACAAATGCGATTGCAATTGATGGGACAACCTGAACAAGGCAATAGGAGAGAAATCAGATAATATCTTTGATTCAGGGAAATACTATTAAAGTTAGTTCATTAATCAACTTGTAATAATTATGCTCGTCAAATTTAAGCCAGGAACGCTATGAACCACCCAAAAGAATACACAATGCCAAAAATTCAAAGGGACCACTTGGGGATGTATTTTATAATGCTTCTAATCTGAATGGGAATGAATGGGCAGCATTTACAATAAACATTGACAACAATCTTCAAAATTCTAATATAACAAAATCAATTATGATATGAATACAGATCAGCTAAGAGGAACTAAAAAAAATTAAACTATTTTTTAACATTTAAGTGGTGAAATTATGATTTATTATTATTCTTATTCGTTGGAGTACTTAAACTATTTTTTAACATTTAAGTGGTGAAATTATGATTTATTATTATTCTTATTCGTTGGAGTACTTATAAGAGCTCCAGAGCTAGTTTCTTATCCAGGGGGTGGGACAAAATGTTAATAGCAACCGGCTAAAATCTGGGTGCCACTAACCACCCACCCAACAAGAATATTAGATTACCCTATAACAACGATGCCCTAAAATCTGGGTGCCACTAACCACCCACCCAACAAGAATATTAGATTACCCTATAACAACGATGCCTCAGATTGTAAGGTGAAAAAACAATTATGTGGAATAGTCCAGATGAAGCTGGCCCTAACACCCATCTTAATCTTTTTTGAGCAGATTAGATATAATACTTGTCGTTTGTAGAGTTTTTGAAACAAACGTACATCATACTGGTAATTAAAATATTAGATATAATACTTGTCGTTTGTAGAGTTTTTGAAACAAACGTACATCATACTGGTAATTAAAATAACTGCGGCTGGAGAGGAGTAGCGACAAGTACGGGTAACAAGAACGTAAGTTACGGGTAACAAGAACGTAAATCTCTCAAAATGAGTTTTACGATGCATATCTTTATCTCATTTGTATACTAAGTTAGTCAAGCTGCAATTCCAACCAAGGGAAAATCTTAGAAACTCGAATTGGATCTTGCTTATTGGCCTTTCCTTGTCCAGAAAACAGTTCCAGTCTATCTTTGAAGATTGGCTTTAGAAAATCCATGCCCATCACAAGCATGCATGACTTATAACTTTCGAAAACAATAAAAATCTTGAACATCATAACAGCTCTCACTTTTTCCGTTTTCTTGGGTATTCTAAAACCATCCTATGCATGGGGCTAAACAAATAACAGCTCTCACTTTTTCCGTTTTCTTGGGTATTCTAAAACCATCCTATGCATGGGGCTAAACAATCTTTTAACATAAAAAAGGAGGCTATGGTATAATGCAATATGTATACACAGTTCTAAAAACCATTTGCAAAACAATGCACTGAGATCAAATTGATCCCCCAAAACATTACATACAAGATTTCTCATCTTCCATCAAATTCAGAATCAGATATCAATCAGTCAACTCCAAAACATTACATACAAGATTTCTCATCTTCCATCAAATTCAGAATCAGATATCAATCAGTCAACTGCTAGATAATGCATTGTATTAGTATAAACAAGCTAAGACAGAGAAAGAGCATGCCTAACCTTAACTGAGTTGGGGACCAAACCCTTGTACAATGCTCTGAAGCCTTCATAACGAACTGTTTTTCGAAAAGCATCAACCATGCACCAAACCCTTGTACAATGCTCTGAAGCCTTCATAACGAACTGTTTTTCGAAAAGCATCAACCATGCCAGTGTACTCGAGGGGTGCCTTACTTCTTCCATCACCAGTGACTACGGAAGCAGCATTATTCCAACCCACCATCTGCATTCTTCTACGAATGACATCAAGAGGATAAGCAACAGTTTGACCGACTGTTCCAGCAGCAGCTCCACATGCTAGACGTGTTGTCACACTGAGCTCTGAATCTTCAACAAGTCCAAATGGTTTACTTTTAATCAACCAGTCTTTAAGCGATTCATACACAGCAAAGTTGAGGCCCACGTAAGGAACCTGCAAAATGGAACAACCAGTCTTTAAGCGATTCATACACAGCAAAGTTGAGGCCCACGTAAGGAACCTGCAAAATGGAACGAGTTTAATTTAAACTTCATGCACTGTACTTTTTTGTATGCATTTTAGTTATTCTCATGCTAAAAATTTCTTGTTGTTTTTCCTTTTTCTTTCTTTTCTTTTCTTTTTCCTTTTTTTGAAAATACACACTATCTTATAGTTCATGATACTTCCATATACAAGAACTAATAAAATATAAAATACTTTGAGAGCTTAAATAAATCATCTTCTAACGATACATGTTATTGCAATGTACAATATTTTTTTAGTGCACTTTGCTGCACTCAATTGAACCTACTAATAAGCATCTGCAACCTTTAATTGAGCAAGAGCCTCGTCAACGCACCTCACTCAATTGAACCTACTAATAAGCATCTGCAACCTTTAATTGAGCAAGAGCCTCGTCAACGCACCTAAAAAATTACAATGGCATCACATATTTACAACTATAAAAATAAGGAACTTACAACTCCAATGACAGAAGGAAGCCAACCCTTGTACAAAGCCCTTGGACCTTCTTCCCGAAGCACCGTTGAAAGAGCATGGAATATTCCTCTGTACTGGTAAGGAGACTTATCTGTCTGAAAAACAAAATTCATTTCAAATTTAGAGAATTTTAATTTGACTGAAAGAATATCAAAATGTCACAACATAAAATTACATCACAACATTTGTTCATATCCAAGATTTTAGATACTCAGATATGATATGAAATTGGAAACTCATCAGAAATATATTATGATACAAAGGGCAAGTAACTGAGAATGAGAGTACCTGCACAGTTAGCCTGCCTCGCACCATGTCCATAGGGTAAGTTGCTGACATGGCAATTATTCCAGCACAAGCTCCAGCACCAAGACGTAGAAGAGGAGTGAGTTGTGCATCTTCTGCAAAAAATAATGACAAAATAGGCTTCAGATTGAGATTTGTGTATGAGAGGAGGGGGCGGACAACTCTTGTGGTCTCTCATAATAGCTATAAGGTCAGATATCATATAATAAAACTGAAAAATGCGGACAACTCTTGTGGTCTCTCATAATAGCTATAAGGTCAGATATCATATAATAAAACTGAAAAATGGCAACCAAAATGAACTTACGGTCACCAGTTTTCTCCCTGTAAAAGGCCAGTATTCCCCTGTCAATGGAAAAGAACAAAGATATTAGCCATTTAGAAAATATTAAAGAGAAAATTAAGGCGTTTAAGGAGCATATCCTGGATGTATGGGAGGTTGCTTAATTGGCACATTAGTAAGTTTACCAACAAGTATGAACTGTTTTGTAAATCATTGATCTTATTTTTGTAAACTCCTGTTCCAAATGAAGCACTACGTTGAAAGATACATAGTACTCTCTCGGATCAATCTCTCTCAAAAAGTTAACTTCAACAGATACGCAACCCCAATAATCCTATCTGTCAGAATGAAAGAGTATTTATTACAGGTGATCAATTACTAGAGTTTGTGTTTTCCTAATAAAGCAAGAATAATGGAATTCGGCCAGTATACAGGTGATCAATTACTAGAGTTTGTGTTTTCCTAATAAAGCAAGAATAATGGAATTCGGCCAGTAGTCATCAAAGACATGAAAACAGGGTTTAAAGGTACTTTCTATCGCAATACCACCTGGCACCAGCTAGAAATAACTTCATTCCTCAATTTCACCAAGATGGGTGATTATGATCACGATTAGACAACTGCCAACTATTCTTGCAAATGTGGTTATGTAAGTGCAACCAACAAATGAGTACGTTCCAATGTCATTCATACAAATTCAAGCAAAATAAAGCATTGCACCCTCCAACACGTGCATCAAACGTTCCAATGTCATTCATACAAATTCAAGCAAAATAAAGCATTGCACCCTCCAACACGTGCATCAAAATTCACTTAAAACACTTGAGTCAACCCTTTCTGAAGGCAAAATTGAAGATGAATATTTTGCATCATTATGACAGACCACCGACTTCAAAACATACCGAGAAGCTTGCTCATAGCTGAAGAATTTTACTATCATTATGACAGACCACCGACTTCAAAACATACCGAGAAGCTTGCTCATAGCTGAAGAATTTTACTGCTGAATTTGGTACTATACGAGCACAATTTGTACCATTGCCTTTGAATAATCCTCGAAAACCCTCAGTTCTCCAAATATATTTCAAGCCTTGTATCGTTACCATTGCCTTTGAATAATCCTCGAAAACCCTCAGTTCTCCAAATATATTTCAAGCCTTGTATCGTCCCATTATATTTTATGCTATGAGGATTCTGGACCTGTTTGTAGAAGCAACTATGTAAGAAGTTGTAGCTATGTATATCCTACTTTGTGCATGCTCATAACCCTTGTGATTTGAGTGTATGACACCACAATGATCAAATAATACCAAAGAAAAAAAAAATACTAATAATGAAAAGATTAGACATACCTGTAATAATATCTTCAAACGCTCCAAAGGGGCAACAGCAGTTCGAGACCTGAACATATACAGAAGAAAATTTCAGAAAATGATTACAATGCAAAGGGGCAACAGCAGTTCGAGACCTGAACATATACAGAAGAAAATTTCAGAAAATGATTACAATGAATCGGAAACTCAGGTTTGAAGTTCCAAAAATCAGGTAATTCGGAATACTGGAAACGACGCAGTCAAAATTTTAAAAACCTGTACGGTAAACGCAATAAACCGTTACTAAACTTCTTTTCCAGGTCAAAAGTTATGATTTAAAAACCTGTACGGTAAACGCAATAAACCGTTACTAAACTTCTTTTCCAGGTCAAAAGTTATGATTTACCAAATCCATCAACTTCAATTGTCAGTTTGATTTAACTATTCAAATTATTGACGGTCCGAAATTCAATTGTTAAGTTTTTCTCTCCTACATTTTTTCTCTTAAACGAACAACCATAGCAACGAGAAAAATTCAATTGTTAAGTTTTTCTCTCCTACATTTTTTCTCTTAAACGAACAACCATAGCAACGAGAAAAATAAATAAATACTCAACCGACGAGCTAGAATTTAAACAGGCAGCAAAATGAGAGAAAAATAAATCTATAATCATTCAACGTAGATTTAAATCGATAGAAATCACAGTTCACAGGGAAACGAAATGGAACTCACACTCCACCGGCGACTCCACCAGCAACCAGAGATTTGCAGATGCTAAGCAGAGCATAACTAGGTGCTTTGACGCCTCCTCTCGCAAGCTTCGCCTCCTCTGCCAGGTTTACGATCGTAGAAACAGCCGATTCGCTTCGTTTGACGTCCTCCGAAGCCATACAAGAAATCAACGAAACAGAAAATGAAGTCGAAAATCACCGAAAACCTAAGTTGCCGTAATTGGAAGCGTGATCTCAGCCTCCAAACAAAGATTCCGGTGATTATCAGAGAGCAAGGTTTTGCTTTTCTCTCTTTCGTCAGTGTTAATCGCGGAGGGAAGAGGGAACGTTGCGGCTGCAGCTGTTGCGAAGTCATGAGCTTCTTTGAGACCTCAAAACTACTACCGTTAACTAACGCCGTTTGCTTTGATGTTGATTGACGGCGTTTATTGGTGGTTTCGGCTTGCTGTGAATTTAGATGAATTCTCAGCCACTAGAGTTAGTCTTCTGTAAATAGCAAACTGTACTCGCCATAATAATTGAACACGTGGCATTCCGAGAGATATTCTGCTGCATAAAGGAACACTGCAATCACAAATTCTCACCAATCAGATTCAACCGTTAACCTAAGAAAATCAGATTCTTTATTTTGATTTTCCAATTCTAAAACTGAATAATACACTATTTTCCCAACTGTTTTATGTTCTTTTTTTTACGATGAAGAAATCCATATAAACTTTTTTTTTAATTATATTTATAAATTTAAATACTATTTTTAGAACGTGACTGTCTTTAAATTTGACATTTCTAGACATGAAATTGTATGTCCGTTAATTAGAAATGTCTATTCATTTAATAGGGACTTACCTCGAATATAATGAAACATTCAATATTTATTATACTAAAAAAAGTACAAAAATCTAACATTAATGTAATGTTTTATTCAATACTAAACCGTCCCAATCGATTGAAGACGAAAACGAAACATTCTTTAAGGTATAAAAATTTCTTTCTAATAGACTGCATTTCAAAATCGTGAGCTTGGACGCTAAACAAATAATATCTGTTTTGCAGTGGTTTGAGCGGTTACAAATACTCCCTAAACTTAAGTTACTATTGTTTCAAACCAAAAAAATTAAAAGGTAAATGTGAAATTATATAATTAAAAATCTAATTTTTTCACTTGGGTAATTACTATCAAGGTGGAGAGACTGAAACCTTGTCCAAGATTTGGTATGTATATTAACCAATCTGGTTTTGATCGCTCGTGAATTAGATCTAAACTTTCTATACCAACACAAATTATCTAAAAATTTATTGTATTATAGGCAATGTAGCTTCAATTGAACTGGAAAAAAAACATAGCGTGAGAGATTTTAGTGTTTAAACGTACAAAATCACTATTATTATTATAGATTAAATATGTTTTTGTGAGTAATTTTTAAATTGTTAAAATCATTTTTATCCCTCTTTAATAATCTCGAGTGATTTTGAATAGAATAAATATAACTTGTGGTTTAATGTCCTAATTAATTATGGCATTAATTCTTTTGATAGGACCTATGAGATTTATTATTGAAGTTTAATTTGAGAAATTTAAGAATATATATATATATATATATATATATATATATATATATTCATAACTTTTTTTTTTATTATTATTATTCCTTATCCAAAAACATATTCTTGGCAAAAGAATAGGAAAAAGGAAACATTCTTCTTTAAGCCAAAAGCACCACCACCCCACTCATCTATCCGACCAGCGACAACCAAAGGCGACACAACCGGCGCCCTGATTGCAGCAACGGACGACAGCAGATTTTGGTGAGACTATGTGTCAGAATTTAGTGTCAGAATTTAAGGTAACTTATTAGTAGTTTGAATGAGTCGAGATATTTATAATTCGTTAATATTTTGATAATATATTAGTTATGAAATATATTTTACACCTTCATAATCAATTAATATTTTTTTATTTATGATTTGATTAGTAGTATATTTTATTTTGTTCTCAAAATTTAGTTAGTTTATATTTTCTGGTAGGTATTAATTGGTAGTTTGTATCTTATTTAAATGTTGAATATAAAATTGAACCTTCGATCCCCATTATATTCCTCATTTTAACTCTGTTTTGTCTTGATTAATAATATTTTCAGATCTATTCACACTTTTGAGTGGTAGATATTGGTATTAGAGTCAAGTTGGTAATCAAGGATTTGATATTATTACTCAACGAGATGAATGGTGAAAGTGCTTTTATGGGTATAGCTATAGAAAAGCTTGTTGGCAATAATTATAATTATTGGAAGTTATGTATGGTGAAAGTGTTTACCTGGGCAAAATTTATGGGATTTAATTTAAGGTGATGACACAGAATTCCAGAAGATACTCCACAGAATGTTTAAGATATAATGATCATGTTCGTGAACTTTGATTAGCAAGGAGTATATTGATCATGTTCGTGATTTAAAGTCACCAAAGCAAGTGTGGAAAATACTTCAAAAGTTGTTCACTAAGAAAAATACAGCTCGATTGCAATTTCTAGAGAACGAACTAGCTGTAGTAACTCAAAGTAATTTTTCTGTTGAAGAATATTTCTTGAAGGTGAAAAATCTGTGTTCTAAAATTTTAGAATTAGATGCTGAGGAACCAGTGAGATATGCTCGATTACGGTGTTATCTTATTCATGGATTATGAAAAGACTGTATACCCTTTGTTTCCTCAATACAAGGGTGGGCAAATCAACGTACAGTTATTGAATTGGAGAATTTTCTTTCTAATTAGGAAGCTTTGATTAAGCAAGTCACTTCAGCTGTATATCAAGATAATGTTTCTACAGATGCCCATGCCTTTATAGACTACAATGAAGAATGGATTGTCGATTCTAGTTGTTCTTATCATGCAACTAGAAACGAAACTCTTATATCAGATGTTCGTTCACACTATCAAAAGAAGAGTAAAGGGCCACAACAAAGTGGCTGAATTGGAATCACGATTTTCTCAACTTTAGGAGGAACTAAAGAAAACAAGTGATCAACTGAGCATATTTGAATCACACAAAAAGCAAGCCCAACAGGAAGCAGAAGAAGCAAAGAAATAACTATCAGATATGTATGCAAAGTTTGAAGAATCCCAATAGTAGGTGCTTGAGCTCTCAGCTTCTAAGGAAGATCGTGTTCAAGAACTGTACAAACTTTCTCAAGATCGCGATCGAGCATGGGAGTCCAAACTCAAAGCTGTTCAGAAGCAGCACGCAATGGATGTTGCTGCATTGGCCTCCGCCATGAATGAAGTTCAGAGGGAGGCTCAAGGTCCAGCTGAACATGGTGCCTGAATCTGACCAAACCCGAAGTAACCTTGTTGAGTCTGCACAAATTGAGATGGATTATTTAAGAGAACAAAGCTGACCAAACCCGAAGTAACCTTGTTGAGTCTGCACAAATTGAGATGGATTATTTAAGAGAACAAAGCTCTCAGAGACACTCTCCCTTGTTGAAAAACTGAAAATGAGCTCAATTACGGTAGAGAATCTGAAGTTCAAGCCCTCAACATTGCAAGGAAAAACCAAAATCAATTTGAAACAACCAAAACAACGGTGGAAAAGCTTAGCCCTCAACATTGCAAGGAAAAACCAAAATCAATTTGAAACAACCAAAACAACGGTGGAAAAGCTTCCATCAGAATTGGAGCAATCAAAAGGATCAGAATTCATGGAGGGACGACTTTGATTTTCATGGAGGGAAGGGAAGAAGGCAGAAAGCAAGGAATGAAGGAATGAATGGAAATAGAGTAGGGAGAGGAGGCCGAGGAAGACCTACAGGGAGAGAGAGTCAACAGGGTGGAATTCCATTGTCAATGATAGGATCTCCTTTTGAACCTCTAGGAATTCCTCCGCTCGGACCAATGCAGCCACTTACTCCTAGCATGTCACCCGGTCTAGGCCCACCAGTTTCTCCAGGCGTTTTTGTCCCACCATTCTCCCCTCCAGTTTGGCCTGGTGCTCGTGGTATTGATATTGAGTATGTTAGTTGTTCCACCAGGACCATTAGGACCTAGATTTCCTCCAACCATAGGGACCCTACCAAGTGCTGCCATGTTTCTTCCGGTGTAGCTGGACCAAGTTTCAATAACTCTGGACCAGTGGGATAGGGTGCTCAACCTGACCTGAATAAAAGTCCTAGTGATTTTTGTTTTACAGTAGGCTTTGCTGCAATTTCATGGTGTAGTAAGTGTTATCTGATATTGAATTGCAGAAAATACATACTAATGAGCAAGTTACAGACATATTTACTAAGACACTTGCCAAAATGAAGTTTGAAGTTTTTCGTAAGGCTCTTGGAGTTATTGAGAAATAAGCTTGCACTAAGTGAGACTGTCATAATTTAATGCAACTTATTGCTAGTTTGAATTAGTCAATATATTCGTAATTTAATATTATTTGATTAGCAGTTAGATTTAGTTAGTTTATATTTTCTTATTGGTAGGTATTATTTGGTAGCTTGTATTCTATTTAAACTTTATGAATATTAATAAAGATTGAACCTTCCATTCTAACTTTATTTCTCATTCTTAACTCTATTTTATTTACTTGAGTAATAATATTTTCAGATATTTTCACACTTTTTAGTGGTAGATATTGTGTCACTATACGCCTTGTTCCGACACCTCCAGCAAATCCATGCCCCCAACCATGTCAGCTTCTTCTTCATCAATATCGTTGCATCTTCTCCTTCCATGGACCGCTTCAACAGCTAAACTCGTTGCTCATGCTCCAGTAAAGCCCAGCAGATGGCGGAGAGACATGGACCACAACCACAGTTCTCTCATCTCTATCATCTTCGCCCGTGGCCCACGACGGTTCCTGTTGTGCATCGTAATGCCACAACCTTCAATGCTCTGATACCACTTGTTGTGTTATAATGCCACAACCTTCAATGCTCTGATACCACTTGTTGAACAAACACTACAACAACAATGTTTTGATACCACTTCTTATAACCAAATGCCACAACCAAAATGTTCAGATACCCAATTGTGGTAGCAGAAAGTAGAATTAAGATCAATCGCATTTACACACCCACAAACATAAACTAAACAAAGAGATACAAAGATTTACATTGTTCAGAGATAAGAAATTTCCCTACATCCAATAGTAGATAATCACTATAACCAAAAGTGTGTACAAAGTGTATCTTTCACACTCTCATACTACAAAATCTCTCTTACAAAGACAAAGACAGGGGATGGTCGGGGAAGGACAAGGACGAGGGTGGAGAATATTCATTGCTCGGTCTCCCTTTAACTTGCACGAATTTTTGTTTCACTTCTTCTTCCATTAGAGACGATCCTTTGCAACGATGTTCTTTTGTCCTCAAATAATTAGATGAAAACAAAATTAATTGTAGTTAATCTCTTCTAAATACGTCTATTTTGCAGGCCAAATTCATTAAATAACCAAATAATAAACTTTTTAGCAAAGCTTGGAAGTTAGTTAGAGTTGTTAATCATAGTTTAAAACTTAGTTAATCCAAAAGAGATTTGTAATATATAAAAGAAAATAAATTAAAATAAGAGATGAGGAATCTCAGGTTCCACATATTATGACCACGACATAATGGTG